CAGCAAAATTCATTCCGCAAAGTCTTCTTCAAGTACTCAACTGTGAGTACACATTTCGGTACTCAAAATACGGTACTCGAACGACAGTGCCTATTGTCCTCCAACGCCGGTTTGTGCACTAAGTCTATGGGAAAGGTTTAGATCAGGGAGCAAAGGAAAACACAAAGCAAAATTAATCCTCGGCAGCATAGCAGAAAACGACTGTGTGCGCGTTATGGTAAGTGTGTACAGTGTTCGTATATTGTAAATGCAATTTATGTTTTTCTTTTAATGCAAACAAATATAATACGCATTATACAGTATGTCCAAAAGAAATGTCCGTCTGACTATTTTTGAAATAACTACAAAACCATGAAGTCCAATTTGAAAAAGTTTGATTGTGCAGATACTCCCTATCTTGGCCTCAACCCCGATGAGTTTCATTTAATTTCAGTCACGCATCACTGCACACTTGTCAATTGATCACAACAACATTTTGGGACACTGTGACCAAGTTCCTTGCCTTAATCAATTTCAGTGCTGTGTTAAGTAAGCTGTGTAAAATCCTGCATGTTGTGAAAAGGGCTGCAATTGGGATTGGAATCATTTGCCTGGCTATCAGTCATCATGGCAAGACCTCGGTTTAATGCTCAAGGGCAAATGATTCCAATCCCAAACCACATCAGACTTTTTTTTCCACAGACACTTTTTGGGGGCATAATGTATGACAATTAATAATGATATAGGATGAGATTTGAAGGTTTGCATGGTGGAAAGATACTAAGACAAGATAAGTTTGGCGGTGGCACCATGTGAATAAAACTCTTTTCTGAGTATGTGTGGTTCTGAAAAGAACCGGAGGGACTCAGCGTTTCGAACAGTATGCTCTGCCCGTCGTCAGGAGAATGAAGGATTCCAACGATGATGCGATGTTATAAGGATGGGTGCGGTGAGGCGTGAGAAGGATGCAAACTGGTGAAGCTCGAAACCGGTGAAGCTGAGACAGGATGCAAGTTGACTGAAGGATGCTGGATGATCACTGGAGCGTGTCAGTACACAGTGAGGGGGCAAAGGGGAAGGAGCTCAGGGGTATAGTTGGCTTCTCTGATGCGTCGGGGGTACCAGCGGTCGATGCTACTGAGTATTTCTGCTTGGCTTCAGTTGATTGGGTGGTCTTCGGTGTGGGAGTGTTTGACGATGGAAGATTTCTTGAAGTCTCCCTTCCTGCCATGGGCTTTGCGTTCATTGAGTCTGGTGGGCAAGTCCCTGCCAGTCTCGCCGATATACACTTTGCCACATTGACATGGAATCTTGTACACTCCTGGTCTGCATTCTGGGTCACACCGATCCTTGTGTGAAGTCAGCAGGTTCTGCATCTTCAGAGGGGCTGTGTGGAAGACTCGAATTCCATGCTTTTGGAGGATGCGCTGGATGTGATGAGAAGTGGTGCCTAAGTAGGGGAGGGTGATGGAACTAGGGGCCCTAACTAGTTGGCTTTGGGTATAGGAGACCCTACGGCCGGGAATGGGTCTTGTGTCTTGACTTGGCTGGTATCCCTTGCGCTGCAGTGTTGTGGTGATGTGATGGAGTTCTTGAGGTAGGTGTTCATCATCAGCATACAACGTCTGCGACGATGAACACCTACCTCAAGAACTCCATCACATCACCACAACACTGCAGCTTCACCAGTTTGCATCCTTCAGAGATGCCACAGGGTCTGCTTGAAAAAAAACCAGAACGGCTGCTTGAAAAAAAACGGACTTTTTTGTGAGTGAAAAAGCCACTCCGTGTCCAACACAAAGTCCCCGTTGTCATCTTTTATCGTGTAGCCAAGCCAAGTTCTGTTTATTTGTTAATTTTGCTTCTATGGCCTTTAAAGCTGTCGGTTCGTTCAATCACTTTGACTTTTTCCATATTCCTAATATTTTTTCTGCCTACCCGAATTTCCAAAGTAATATTTGACATGAAACATGCACGATTCAACAACACTGCTGTCGGTGTACATGATCCTTGCATTACGCGATGCGCTCAACGAAAACATGGTTGGTACATTTTTTGTATTCACATATATCACTGCGATCGGAAACCACCGATAGCTGAAATGATGGATTTGATTCCCAGGCTGAATGCTACCGGTACGTGTGCTTAGCACACAACACGCCCGCACGCGGTGAAGCACGCGCGAGGCGCCGTTGTATACTGCGTGCAATTAAAAACGTTGTCCGCTTGTATCGCATGCAGGCTTGGCAACAACATACACAGACTGTTTTTAAGACTACTTCGACAAACAACGTTGTGCCATGCGTGCGCCTAAATGTACTAAGTCGAGGTAAAAATCAACGCATTTCCATAGTTTTTTTTTTTTTTTTCTGGTTAATCTGACGGCCGAAAAACCGGAATTTTGTGAGATTTTTTTTTAAAACCGGAATTCCGGTTAAAACCGGAAAAGTGGCATCTCTGATATTCCTTCTCATGCCGCACCCATCCTTATAACATCGCATCATCTTTGGAATCCCTCATTCTCCTGACGACGGGCAGAGCATACTGTTCGAAACGCTGAGTCCCTCCGGTTCTTTTCAGAACCACACATACTCAGAAAAGAGATTAATTCACATGGTGCTACCGCAAAACTTATCTTGTCTTAATAATGATATACTTAGTGTCATGTTAACAATAAAACTTTTTAAGTCTAACGTTATTTTTGTTATGATTTTAGTAATGTAAGATGATTTGATATGATGGAGTTGAGATAATCTGTCGCCTACCTTTCGCTTGCTTCTTCTTTTTGTAGTCAAAGTCAAGATGTCGCCCCTGTAACTTCTTCCATTGGTGCTGTAGAAATGAAACATTGGGAGAAAGTTAATGTACTGTTTGACAAGAGACATGTGCACATTGCTGTAAGGCTCCTTATATAAATTATGGGTCAAAGTGTGACAATTTTCGAGTTCCTGTTATCTCTGAACGTTGTCATTTGCCGTTCAAGTATCATTAAGAATGACTTCAACAATTTGTTGGGTAGGTTGTCTGCTTCACATAATCACTCTTGGTGGACGACTGCATTAACCCTAACCTTCCCAAATCCTCCAAAATCCTCTTTGCAAAATGGAGGATTTTGCAGGATTGAGGCTGTTTAATTGGCAAAAATGTGTGGCTGATTTTGCAGGATGCAGTGTGTCAAGGTCTTGGGCCCGGGCCTTGTGTTTGTTTATGCTCAGCTGTGCATAAATTATACTTGAAGTCCTCCGCACTGCTCCAGGATGTCACTGGCTCAGCCTCAACATATTGACAGTGATTGCTGGAGGATTTTGTAGGATTGAGGCAGTGATCATTCTTCCACGGATCACATTCAAGAAATAATGGAGGATTTTGCAGGATTGAGGCTGCATGCAATTTTGACATGGAGGCAGTTGGAGGATTTTGCAGCATCATCGCAAAAATGCCCAGGGAGTTAGGGTTAAGAATGACTTTAAACAATTTTGTATTCGTTGTGTAGGTAGTTTGCTATTCATAATCACCCTTGGAGGACGACTGCATTAAGGAGTGCATCAGAATTATAATATCATAGGTAAGATTTGAGGCTTTGCATGGTGGAGATACTAAATAATGAAAGGTTTGCGGAAACACCATGTGCGAATAATTTCTCAACTAAGAGAATGGTTCTGAAAAGAACTAGAGGTATAAACTCGACGTTCCGGTCAGTATGCTCTGACCGTCTTCAGGAGAGTGCCTAAACTCTAAGAAAGTGAATACTTAGTGGCAAAAGGGGAATCAATGGAGTGTGAAGTTGCATCCTGTGCAAGTTGCATCCTGTGAAGTTGCATCCTGTGAGGATGCCAAGTAGACAGGATCCCTTAGCCTGCTCAGGGATCCTGTCTACTTGGCATCCTCACAGGATGCAACTTCACAGGATGCAACTTGCACAGGATGCAACTTCACACTCCATTGATTCCCCTTTTGCCACTAAGTATTCACTTTCTTAGAGTTTAGGCACTCTCCTGAAGACGGTCAGAGCATACTGACCGGAACGTCGAGTTTATACCTCTAGTTCTTTTCAGAACCATTCTCTTAGTTGAGAAATTATTCGCACATGGTGTTTCCGCAAACCTTTCATTATTTAGTATCTCCACCATGCAAAGCCTCAAATCTTACTTATCTTCGCTCTACGGGGAGCTGGTAACCAACCAGGTTAGGTTGTATGAACGGACGTCAATTCGGCGTTCTAAACTCATCAACAACTTAACCTTCCTCAAGCGATGCCGCGACTCTAAGATAACTCCTGCCGGTCTGCGTATCCGCGATCCCATACGCAATCACCGATCGGATGACATCCTCCGGAGAGCCAGCTCCGCACTCATCCGAGAACGCATCTCCTTCACCAGACTACAACTCGCCATCCTCGACCAGCAGATCACCGACACGGAAGAGGATCTCCGCTCCACCTTGGAACCAGTCCACTTTGACAGGATTTGTTCTCTCACCACTTCTTCCAGCCAGTTTGTGTACTCCACCACTCGTCGGAAACAACTTAGGAAATTCTACCGCCTGGAACGCAAGGAACGGAGTACTCCGACTCCTTTCCACCGGAACCGTAGCCCGCCAACTGGATCTCCTATATCCTGGCGTCATCCATCTCGCCTACATAGCCCGCCAACTGGATCTCCTATATCCTGGCGTCAGTCTTCTCGCCCGCGTAACCTGCCATCTGGATCTCCTATATCCTGGCGCCATCCACCTCATCTCCGTAGTCAAGACACCTTCACCAAGCATACGGTAGTCAACCTCAGCAGCCGACAGCTGAACAGTACTGAAACGAAAGTTCTGTCCCTTGGCATGAACTTTGCTGTTCCTCCAAAGTCCGTACCCATCGAGAGCATCATCCAGTCGACGGAGCCAGCCCTCAGACACCTCACCAAGACAGCAGCCAACGACGTCCGCATCAAGATGAATGAAGTCCTCCGCAAGGCTCGCCCAGCTAAACCTAATCTGACGAAAACAGAGCGGTTCGCTGTCAGTGACCTTCGCCGAGACAACTCCATCCACATCCTCACAGCGGACAAGGGCAACGCCACCGTCGTCATGGACAGGGAGGACTACAGCAACAAGGTAAAAGACATACTTTCTTCTGGTTCATACCGCCCACTCCCCAAGAACCCCATCCCCGCCATCGAGAAGCGAGTTGCCAGCCACTTCTCCTCTTGCATCGAGCGGATGCATTATCCACCCCCCTCTACAGACGACTCAGACCCTCCAGTTCGATCTGTCCCAGGTTCTTTGGTCAACCAAAGATTCACAAACCTGAGATCCCTCTGCGCCCCATAGTTGCCTCTCGAGGTTCCCCCACTTACCACACAGCCCAACACTTAGCCAAAATCCTCAGACCCTTGGTGGGTCAGACACCACACCATGTGTCCAACTCTCCCCAGTTTGTCAGCATCACCAGAAACCTCACGGTCCAACCCACTGACTTGCTTGTCAGTTTTGACGTCGTCTCACTCTTCACCAATGTTCCCACAGGCGAGGCCTGCAAACTAGCTAAGGAAAGACTTGAACATGATACCACTCTCGCTGAACGCACAGACCTGTCCCCCGACCAAATTCATGATCTGTTACTAACATGTATTTCTTCCAGTTGTTTTCAGTGGCAAGGCAAGTTCTACGAGCAAACGGCTGGGACCTCCATGGGATCTCCTTTATCCCCGGTCCTAGCCGACATCTTCATGGAGGAGTTCGAGTCTTCCTCCCTACTCACAGCGGATCTTCGACCGAGCCTGTGGCTACGCTACGTTGATGACACCTTCGTAGTGTGGCCCCATGGCCCGGACACACTCCAAGACTTCCTCCAGTACCTCAACAAGCAACACACCAGCATCAGCTTCACCATGGAACAAGAACAGCACGGCACCATTCCTTTCCTGGACGTCAAGATCTCCAGGAATCCGGATGGCACCCTGGGACACAGCGTCTACAGGAAACCCACCCACACCGACCGCTATCTCCACCAGCGGTCGTTCCATCACCCCAGCATCAAGTCATCGGTCAACCGCACCCTAGTACAGAGAGCCTTCGAGGTCTGCGACCAAGACAACCTCAAGCGTGAACTCAAGCACATCCAGACGTCACTACAACGGAACGGCTACAAACCCCACCGCATCAAGATCAGCAAACCTGACCAACGGGTCCCCTATACCCAAGGTCCTCCCACTGTATCTCCCTCAGTCACTCTTCCTTACATAGGTCCAGCTTCTCATCATCTGCAACGCATCCTCCGACAAGCCGGCGTCAAGGTGTACCACTCATCTGGCAACAAGCTCCAAGGCAGCCTCCATACGCACAAGGACAAGCAGGACTCCTCATCCAAGCCGGGAGTCTACCGCATTCCATGCGAATGCGGCAAAGTCTACATCGGCGAAACTGGTCGGAACCTTCCCACTAGGCTCAAGGAACACAGAGCACATGGACGGCGAGGGGATTTTGACAAATCGGCCATTGTCAAACATTCCCACATCAACGACCACAAAGTTGATTGGGATGCGGCCGAACTCATCGCACCGATCCAGTTCTGGCATCCAAGACGCATACGGGAAGCCATCGAGATCCGCAAGCACAACACAGTTCCGCAAGACATCGGGTTTCACCTCAACGACATCTGGCTCCCACTTCTCCAGACTGATGGGTCTCCTATACCCTAGGTCCTCAGCTAATATCTTAGACTGATGGGTCTCCTATACCCTAGGTCCTCCCTCTACTGACACTGCAACCCTACTGTTCCACTTCAATGGGTACTAAGCCTGCTCAGGGATCCTGTCTACTTGGCATCCTCACAGGATGCAACTTCACAGGATGCAACTTGCACAGGATGCAACTTCACACTCCATTGATTCCCCTTTTGCCACTAAGTATTCACTTTCTTAGAGTTTAGGCACTCTCCTGAAGACGGTCAGAGCATACTGACCGGAACGTCGAGTTTATACCTCTAGTTCTTTTCAGAACCATTCTCTTAGTTGAGAAATTATTCGCACATGGTGTTTCCGCAAACCTTTCATTATTTATAATATCATAGATGTCAGATGTAACAGGGACAGGATCTCCTATATCCTGGCGTCATCCATCTCGCCTACATAGCCCGCCAACTGGATCTCCTATATCCTGGCGTCAGTCTTCTCGCCCGCGTAACCTGCCATCTGGATCTCCTATATCCTGGCGCCATCCACCTCATCTCCGTAGTCAAGACACCTTCACCAAGCATACGGTAGTCAACCTCAGCAGCCGACAGCTGAACAGTACTGAAACGAAAGTTCTGTCCCTTGGCATGAACTTTGCTGTTCCTCCAAAGTCCGTACCCATCGAGAGCATCATCCAGTCGACGGAGCCAGCCCTCAGACACCTCACCAAGACAGCAGCCAACGACGTCCGCATCAAGATGAATGAAGTCCTCCGCAAGGCTCGCCCAGCTAAACCTAATCTGACGAAAACAGAGCGGTTCGCTGTCAGTGACCTTCGCCGAGACAACTCCATCCACATCCTCACAGCGGACAAGGGCAACGCCACCGTCGTCATGGACAGGGAGGACTACAGCAACAAGGTAAAAGACATACTTTCTTCTGGTTCATACCGCCCACTCCCCAAGAACCCCATCCCCGCCATCGAGAAGCGAGTTGCCAGCCAACTTCTCCTCTTGCATCGAGCGGATGCATTATCCACCCCCCTCTACAGACGACTCAGACCCTCCAGTTCGATCTGTCCCAGGTTCTTTGGTCAACCAAAGATTCACAAACCTGAGATCCCTCTGCGCCCCATAGTTGCCTCTCGAGGTTCCCCCACTTACCACACAGCCCAACACTTAGCCAAAATCCTCAGACCCTTGGTGGGTCAGACACCACACCATGTGTCCAACTCTCCCCAGTTTGTCAGCATCACCAGAAACCTCACGGTCCAACCCACTGACTTGCTTGTCAGTTTTGACGTCGTCTCACTCTTCACCAATGTTCCCACAGGCGAGGCCTGCAAACTAGCTAAGGAAAGACTTGAACATGATACCACTCTCGCTGAACGCACAGACCTGTCCCCCGACCAAATTCATGATCTGTTACTAACATGTATTTCTTCCAGTTGTTTTCAGTGGCAAGGCAAGTTCTACGAGCAAACGGCTGGGACCTCCATGGGATCTCCTTTATCCCCGGTCCTAGCCGACATCTTCATGGAGGAGTTCGAGTCTTCCTCCCTACTCACAGCGGATCTTCGACCGAGCCTGTGGCTACGCTACGTTGATGACACCTTCGTAGTGTGGCCCCATGGCCCGGACACACTCCAAGACTTCCTCCAGTACCTCAACAAGCAACACACCAGCATCAGCTTCACCATGGAACAAGAACAGCACGGCACCATTCCTTTCCTGGACGTCAAGATCTCCAGGAATCCGGATGGCACCCTGGGACACAGCGTCTACAGGAAACCCACCCACACCGACCGCTATCTCCACCAGCGGTCGTTCCATCACCCCAGCATCAAGTCATCGGTCAACCGCACCCTAGTACAGAGAGCCTTCGAGGTCTGCGACCAAGACAACCTCAAGCGTGAACTCAAGCACATCCAGACGTCACTACAACGGAACGGCTACAAACCCCACCGCATCAAGATCAGCAAACCTGACCAACGGGTCCCCTATACCCAAGGTCCTCCCACTGTATCTCCCTCAGTCACTCTTCCTTACATAGGTCCAGCTTCTCATCATCTGCAACGCATCCTCCGACAAGCCGGCGTCAAGGTGTACCACTCATCTGGCAACAAGCTCCAAGGCAGCCTCCATACGCACAAGGACAAGCAGGACTCCTCATCCAAGCCGGGAGTCTACCGCATTCCATGCGAATGCGGCAAAGTCTACATCGGCGAAACTGGTCGGAACCTTCCCACTAGGCTCAAGGAACACAGAGCACATGGACGGCGAGGGGATTTTGACAAATCGGCCATTGTCAAACATTCCCACATCAACGACCACAAAGTTGATTGGGATGCGGCCGAACTCATCGCACCGATCCAGTTCTGGCATCCAAGACGCATACGGGAAGCCATCGAGATCCGCAAGCACAACACAGTTCCGCAAGACATCGGGTTTCACCTCAACGACATCTGGCTCCCACTTCTCCAGACTGATGGGTCTCCTATACCCTAGGTCCTCAGCTAATATCTTAGACTGATGGGTCTCCTATACCCTAGGTCCTCCCTCTACTGACACTGCAACCCTACTGTTCCACTTCAATGGGTACTAAGCCTGCTCAGGGATCCTGTCTACTTGGCATCCTCACAGGATGCAACTTCACAGGATGCAACTTGCACAGGATGCAACTTCACACTCCATTGATTCCCCTTTTGCCACTAAGTATTCACTTTCTTAGAGTTTAGGCACTCTCCTGAAGACGGTCAGAGCATACTGACCGGAACGTCGAGTTTATACCTCTAGTTCTTTTCAGAACCATTCTCTTAGTTGAGAAATTATTCGCACATGGTGTTTCCGCAAACCTTTCATTATTTATAATATCATAGATGTCAGATGTAACAGGGACAGGAAAAAAGTGGACCCCAAATTTATCGAATGACCCAAAGTACACAGGCATAAGTTACAACCCAAATCAACCAGTAGTCGATCACTTGTCTTCTATCAATTTTTTTCCAGATTGGCCACAATTTGTGCTTGAATTTCCCCGCAGGTGGCTGTGCAACACAGTCCTGCTTCTATCAAAATCAACCAAATTCTGTCAGATTCTGTAAGATGGAACTCACGTTGATCTCTTTCAGATCTTTGTTCTTGAGATGACCCAGGGGATCCAGGAAGTTCTGTCTGACGTTCAGATCGAAGGCGCCCTTGACTTCAGAAAGTTGCCTCAGTGATTCTCCCATCTCGACCATCGCCGTAGCTGTAACCAAAAAAATAACCAAAACAATTTTTTTTTTTTTTAATGATACCTATAAAAAACAACATTTTATTGTTCTGTTGTTTCCACCAAAACTAAACAGCTGTGCTAAGTATACCGTGGGAGCTGAGATTGTCTATGAAATGCATGGTCTATGATGCATTATTAGACAGAGTAAAAAAAAAACGGTTTCCCGTCTGCTTTTTTTCCCTCCACCATGAGGTGAGGTATATGTTTTCATCGGCCTTGGTTTGTCTGTGAACAGGATAACTCAGGATAATTGCGGAGGCACTAGGCTCACGTGAATCGCGCACTCCGGACTCCTTCGACCAAAACATTTGCGAGCCTCGTCTTTAAGAACGCGTGCACGTAGTCGTGGCGCGACCTCAAAAATGGCTTCTAATTTTGTTTGCCGGATTACGCTATATGAGAATGTAATTTCCAGTAACCCTGGTTAACCCTTCTGTTAGTGAACATTAGCCATGTCTGAATGACATGGCTACGACTAACACTAGCCCACATGGGAAGTGGCTTCATCTGCTTCCATAGGTGCAACTAATGTATTAGCCGTAGCCACTTCATTCTGACGTGGCTTTATGCTTTTCCATTTTCCCTAATTTGTGCTTGAATTTCCCCGAACGTGGCTGTGCAACACAGTCCTGATTCTATCAAAATCAACCAGATAATGGATGATGTTAGATTTTGTAAGATGGAACTCACGTTGATCTCCTTCAGATCTTTGTTCTTGAGATGATCCAGGGGATCCAGGAAGTTCTGTCTGACGTTCAGATCGAAGGCGTCCTTGACTTAGAAAGTTGCCTCAGTGATTCGCCCATCTCGACCATCGCCGTACCTGTATCCAAACAAAAACAAAAACATAACAAAATCCATCTTTTTAGAATACCTATAACTGGAAAGATTTTATTGTCCTGTTGTTTCCATCAAAATGAGAACAGTTGGGCTAACAATGTAAAAAAGTAAGTGTTCTTTCAGCAAAATGAAAACAATTCTCATAGGGATGCATGTGAATTGTTTTTGTTGTGCTGAAATAACACATACATTTCTTTGTGATCCATGGACAGAACTTTAAAATGGCGTTTGTGTTCAAAATTCCGTAACTTGAAAAGCAAATGAGTGATGTGAATGATTCTTGTGTTAATTCAAAGCCCATTGATTGGGCTTTCATATCCTAGATTTGGAAAGTGCTACAAACTTTATTCAAAAATTGGTCCTGCCATTTGGGTTTCGTCTTTATTGACTCACCTGTATATTGCAAATGTATGCATTTATAAATAAAAAAAAAAAAAAAAATAAAAAGTGGGTGCAAAAAAGGCAGCGGGCAGCTACGAGAAACTGTTTTTTTTCTTTACTTGGCCTTGCATATCTGAAGTGCTGGGCACTACATAAATTACGCAATACTCATGGTATATGTTGGTGGATTGGAACACTGATTAATGCACCTTTTCGAGAGCTTTTTGATCAGTCTACCACAGAAGGAAAGAGAATACATCTTGAAGTTTGCTCACCAAACGTTGAATCTTCTCCTAATTCTCTGCCGTTCTTCAGCATGACTTCTCCCAGGAATCCTACGGGTTGTTGATGGCCCTATGCGATGGCCCTATGGCCAAATATCTTTCTCGTGACATACCCTGACTGTGTGCCAAATGCCATGCTTGTATCATCAAAGGCACAATCCCATCGCCTATCTGCTGTACTAGTACATGTAGCTACAATATTGTTGGAAACAAATAAACAGACAACTGACAAATTTGCCAAATAAAGGGCGAGTAAAAAAACCGAAACACAAACGGCTGGACCAATTTTTGATTGAAGTTTTTCCTGTAGCACTTTCAAAATCCAGGATATATGAAAGCCCAGTTATTAAACTTTCTTTTAGTACAAGAATCATTCTAATCACTCATGTACTTTTCAAGTTACAAAATTTTGAACACAACCACCGTTTTAAAGTTCTGTCCACACATCACAAAAATAGGAAGTGTTCTTGCAGCAAAGTGATAACAATTCTCACAGGGATGAATGCGAATTGTTTTCATTTTACTGAAAGAACACTTACCTTTTTGTGATCCGGACAGAACTTTTAAAACAGTGTTTGTGTTGAAAATTAAGCAACTTGAAAAGTACATGAGTGATTTGAATGATTCTTGTGCTAAAACAAAGCCCATTGATTGGGCTTTCATATCCTAGATTTGGAAAGTGCTACAGGCAAAACTTCATTCAAAAATTGGTCCTGCCATTTGGGTTTCGTCTTTTTTGACTCACCTGTATATTGCAAATGTATGCATTTATAAATAAAAAAAAATAAAAAAATACAAAGTGGGTGCAAAAAAGGCAGCGGGCAGCTACGAGAAACTGGTTTATTTCTTTACTTGGCCTTGCATACATATCTGAAGTGCTGGGCACTACATAAATTACACAATACTCATGGTACTATGTTGGTGGATTGGAACGCTGATTAGAGCACCTTTTTGAGAGCTTTTTGATCAGTCTACCACAGAAGGAAAGAGAATACATCTTGAAGTTTGCTCACTAAACGTCGAATCTTCTCCTAATTCTCTGCCGTTCTTCAGCATGACTTCTCCCAGGAATCCTACGGGTTGTTGAGGCTTGGTTCCTCCTTTGTTCTGACCACGGACTTTACTCATGGCTCTGGAGACTGTTCAGGAAAGACAATACGATTGATTAGGGTCAGCACACAAATAGAAGATCTATCTCTATTTGGTTTGTTTGAAGTGAATACTTAGACCCGATTCAAACCGGTGTTCTATAGTCACCCCAAACGTAATTATTCCAAAGGTTACAATTAAAGGTAATATACGACATTTGCAAACATCAACAAACAAAACTACTAAAATATTATGAAATACTTTACTTGACTGTAGGTGAATGACAGTCTCAGACATCCTGTGAAATCATGGCACCTGGTGTGCTGTCATTTTTGTATTGATTTCAAAAGATGGTCGGCCGGCCATCGTTGGAAGAAACTGATTTTGCCAAATAGTGCCCCAATTTACCCAATTTATTTAGTCCACATTTTTTGGCAAGCGGTTACACATCCGTGAATGGATGCAAGCCAGCTAGTCTGGTTCCCTGAGCTCAGGGAACATCACAAGATCCGGCCCAAGACCTTGACACAGTGCATCCTCATAAATCAGGCACACATTTTTGCCATATAGCCTCAATCCTGCAAAAGCCTACATTTTGCAAATAGGATTTTGGAGGATGTGGGAAGGTTAGCGTCAATGATGTTTCAATTTTGGTTCTTACCTGGATTGGGCTGAAGGTATTCTATTGTCTTGTTCACCAAATCATCCACTGTGTGACCTGTCACGTCAATTCTCTAATGAAAAAAAAAATACATTACCCAAAGACAATGAGAAGAATTCAATAAGCATAAATAATCTCAAGCAATATTTACTAATACTAAATGTGTTAAAACTTTTTGCGCTATGGCAGGAGAGATTCATACCCTGGACTCCGTTGCGTGTACACAACAGAGTCCAACCTGGGCTAGGACTAGGGCTAAGTTACACTTACAGCAGACAGGGCTCTGGAGTGCTCTGAAACGTGCAAAACAAAACGGGCAAAGAAAATGTCCTCAGTATTTCACCAACCAAGTTTGGACACTCAATTCAATTTTAAAGGAGATTTTTCTTCAATGTTTTGCACATGAGAGGGAAGTCAAGTGATTTCAAAATGGGACTAATACTAGTCTGGTACATGTCCAACCATCATGACCATATGGTCCAACTATTTGAAAAGACTGACCTCTTCATTCAGTGTCAATAGTCTGGTGGCTTGACTACGGAGAAATGTGTAGTAAATTGAGACTAGTTCCCGCTTCATGCCACACGTTTCTTAAATTCTTTTGGCATGGTTGATTGATGCAGTACTGAAGCTGTGTTGGACTGGTTGTTTCAGGTGCCAGTCTTTTTTCTTGCTTTGCATGTTTTCAATACCATAAGTTTTGGGACTCTCATACACAGTATTGAGAGTCCCAAATTTTAGGACTACACTTACAGTAGTCCGAGTAACTTGGACCATGCTTGGACCCAACTTATTGTCTTTTTAACATTCAGATTTCACCCTCAAAATGGCCTCCCAATTACTAGATATGCCACCTGAGGTACAAATAGACATCGATGATTAAAATGGTTGTACTGAAGTTTATTTACGATCCGGGAGAAAAATGAAATTTCCCGTTCAATTCTGAGAGCTCCCCTCGCGATCATGAACACGTTAAATTTCCGACTCGTGTTAATGTTTGAACGACGTGATGTAGTCTTCATGCCCAGCGTACATTCAATGGTCCCCATATCCCGAGTGCGATTCTGTTACCGAGCGCGAAGCATCGATTATGATAATGAGTAGACTGGATCTCGCTTGTGAACACAAGTGGATTTCAAATGGTATAAGACAATCGGGAACTAGCTTGAACTGGTTTCCGCCCATAAAAGCTGTCCTTGTTCCCGACTCTCTATTAGGCCAAAAAAAAGAATATGACTCTGCCGTTTTCCTCATACATCATCTCAATGAAGGACAGTCATTGCAAAAATTATGCTAAGACATGAATCTAGGACTAAGAAACATTTGAAATTTCAATGTTAGGAAATACTTCAATTTTCTTGACTCACCATAGACTTTGTACCGCTGAAGTGGCGTCAGGTTGCAACATTCTTTCCATGTCTGCTGCCCATTGGAGATCAACCTGCTATCTGTACTGCCATCAATTGCATCATATGCTGCATTCCTCTGACTCTGTGTCTTGCATCACTGGCTGCTCATGGCATGCACGTCATCAATTTCTATGAAAACCGTAGGATAACAGAAAGGCACTTTTATCTGTATCTGTATGGTTACGTTGCAGAAGCCTATTCAGGCATTATCGCAACGGAGTATAAGTATTCAAGGCGCTGGCAGTTATGTCTATTATTAGATGAATGAAGTACATGAGAAATATGACACCCATTATGTAGCACCTTTCATTGGTTTAATATAAGTTGCTGCGGCCACTGCCAGGACACCGAGGCGAACCCCTTCTCTTACTTAGCGAACAAGTCTTTAACGTGCATTATACAACACACGGGACCTACAGCTTTACGTCCCATCCAAAGCCGAACGAAGCAAGAATGGTCAAGTGCCTTGCTTAAGCACAAGTGTCCGCCGGCGGGCTCGAACCCACGTGACATTGTTGCCTCTGAAACACCAGAACATGAGTCCGGTGCTCTTAACCGCTAGGCCATGGCATTCCATTTATAACGGCTAAATAAAGCGTGAGTTGGTATTTGCTGGACGTGTACTAAAGGAACAATTCTTCCGAAAATTGAGGCTGTTGTGCCCATTCTTGAAAATCACGCATTCTCGAGAATGGGCATGCTCATTCTCGAGAATGGGCGCGCATTCTTAAGAATGAGCGCCCATTCTTAAGAACGAGCACGCGTTCTTAAGAATGAGCGCTCATTCTTAAGATTGGGTGGGAATATCACGTGCACAATTTATGAATTTTGCCCAATCTTAACAAACATTGCACGACATAATTATGTTAAATGAATTGTATAGCGGTTAAAAGGGAAACAATTCATATAAAGAGGAAAGAAAATGTGCTATGCTTCTGTACTCGTATAACTACGATAATTTGAATCAAATTAAACCTGCTATTATTGTTTTTTTCTGCCCACTATGGGAAGTTTTGTAATAACGGAGGACTGGGAACTAGTCTGGGAAGTGCTTTGTTTAGGCTAGACAAGTTACAAGTCCCTGCATGTATCATATGCGTGCCACGAAAAAAAAAACGATGTCCAGAAGCTGCCAAAATTGCTCTTTTGACTAGATAGAATCCAGCTCTGCGACGTTTAATGGTGGGATGTGAACAATAAATTGGTGGCAATTTAAATGGAAATAGCATTAGCACTATGGGATGTCGCAGTATTCATTCTCATTCTTCACATTCTTCATTCTTACGTCCCCCCCCCCCCCGCTTTTATTATCCCAAAAATCAGAATTCTTTGCACTAGTATTATTATGTCTCTTATATTTTCCCGGTCCCCCCCCCCCCCCATATTAATACGCCTTTACTTATCATATCCACTCTACTTTTCAGCGCCTTGCGTTGCAACAGTATAATTATTGAGAATCAGTGAACGAGGATTCAGCTAGACTTGCCAAGCGCAGCCGGTGCTCGGCATCGACAAGACCGTTATCTTGTCGCGCATTCTCGAGAATGTGCGCTCAATCTGGAAGAGTTATTTTTTGCCAAGATTGAGCAAGGATCCAGTTGCACATTCTCAAGAATGTGCATGCCCATTCTCGAGAATGCGTGATTTTCAAGAATGGGCACAACAAGGACTGTCCATGCAAACTCAAACAAGGCCTAGCCTAGCCCTAGGCCTAACTTAACTGACGTTTTTTTTTGCCAGCCATGCCAGCATAATTTATTACGTTTTTATTAGTCAGAATGGGACAAAACTATACGTTCACGTTACGAGTGTCTTACTACGCTGATCTTGAATAACTGCTCAAAAAGAATCCTGTATTTTATTCTGAAATTTACCTTTCCAAAACGAGTTGTGGATCACGTTGCAATTTTCTCATATGGTGATATCTGGCGCCATCTGTCAACTGATAAAAGAACTGCGCCCTCTATTGATAAGATGAGTGGCGCCCTCTATTGATATTTCCCGTTTGGGGCAAACAAGTGGGGCGAGTTGGTAAGGGGGCGAGTTGGTAACTGTATGGTCAGTAGAGGCCGCTGTTTTGTTTTTCAATAGAGTGCGCTATTTATTGGATCACAAATTAGCTGTTTATGTATATCAATAGAGGGAGCTCTTCAAATTTTCAACAGAGGGCGCTATATCGGACAAGTAGAATGGCATAACCGGAATTAAGTGATCAGTTTATAGTTGCTTGCCCGTGCAATTTTTTTAGTTTTGACAATAAAAAATACATTTTGTTTTCAAATTTCTTTTTTTCTAGCAATATGAAAGCTTTGCACTTTGTTATGATGGAGACATCTATCGAAACGATCCGCCCACGTTTAATTAGAGAATTTTGATGTTACAAAAATTTTGAACTATTTAAGAGCCCAATAAATCCCTCGAATCTAAAATGAAGCTTATAATTTGTTTCTCTGACGGCGTGAAACGTCCGAGAGCGAAATAGAAAATCAAGTGGTTACATTGTTTAAACTAGTAAGCTTCGAAGTGCGCCACGTTAGGGAACACGACTATATAGGAAGGGAAAGACTCACCAAAACAGTTGACTAAATGACACTCAAAATTGACATTCTGATATTTCTTGGCACATCTGAACATTTGGCAATGACACCTTCTTGAATATGAGCAGGTTTAATTTTGTGGAAAGAGGGCAGGGCTTTGATTTATGAGGGAAATTCAGGGGTAAAAGACGACAATGACAACCAGAAAACAGACTCAAAAACCAAGAAGGCAAACGTGAAAGCTCGCTGCGATGAAAGCTCGATGCTGATTGGCTGATGAAAAATAAGCATCTTAGGCCCTATTTATTTTTAGTCTGGTTCCCAAAAGATTCAGGGGTACAACTATAGAATGCAGGGCCACTTTACTCTACATCCTCGCCTCCGTACGGCTGCGTGGAGGCGTGGAGCCGCAGTCGACCTACCTCCGAAAATCGATTGCCGCAGTCGACCTACCTCCGAAAATCGATCGTGGAGTCGTGGGATCAAAATAAGGACAGCGCATAAAAATATAAAACAGCACACCGTGTAAACTCAATGGCGCCCCCAATCACCAATCAGTAGACTTGTCACAGTAATTTTCTTCTCCTTGCGGGGAAGGGCAGGGTTTTAAGAAATCATCCTGCACTGCTGCAGGGATATAGTCTTTCAAAGTTTAATCAACTTGAACGTTACAGGGAAAATATCAGACTTTATTCAGGGGATGTTTTGGTAGAACATTAACTATGAAAAAAAAAATTGAGATTATATAATGTAAAGACCACAATTCCCACATACCGCGATAATAGGGAGTCCACCTCCATTCGCACATTCTCCGAGCATGTCTATTTTCACAGGCATTTGAAAAGGAAGAGTTATGCAATATTACAAACAAGAAACGTGATAATACGGCGTTCCATCCTACATGCTTACTGGCACTGCCAGCATCCTACTGTCTGAAAAAACACCAAGGATATTTCATTAAATGTCCAGAACTCCAGGTATGGAATCTTTCCGGAGTATTTTTTAACCCTAACCCACCTCGCTCCTCCAAAATCCTCCTGGCGGTTTTGGAGGATTCTAGAAGATTGAGGATGAATGGTGATTGAATCAAATGAGGATTCTGGAGGATTGAGGATGAATGGTGATTGAATCAAATGAGGATTCTGGAGGATTGAGGATGAATGGTAATTGAATCAAATGAGGATTCTGGAGGATTGAGGATGAATGGTGGTTGAAGCGCATGAGGATTCTGGAGGATTGAGGATGAATGGTGATTGAATCAAATGAGGATTCTGGAGGATTGAGGATGAATGGTGATTGAATCAAATGAGGATTCTGGAGGATTGAGGATGAATGGTGATTGAATCAAATGAGGATTCTGGAGGATTGAGGATGAATGGTGATTGAATCAAATGAGGATTCTGGAGGATGAGGATGAATGGTGATTGAATCAAATGAGGATTCTGGAGGATTGAGGATGAATGGTGATTGAATCAAATGAGGATTCTGGAGGATGAGGATGAATGGTGATTGAATCAAATGAGGATTCTGGAGGATTGAGGATGAATGGTGATTGAAGCACATGAGGATTCTGGAGGATTGAGAACGAATGCATTTTGTGGCAGGACTGTTTGATTATTCTGAAGGATTTGGCGTTGGTTATCCTTCATTCATAAATACCTCAGACAGTTTAGCTATTCCTATTGGTCGAGAGCCCGTCACGTGGCCGGTCTTAAACGGATGATAAAGACATGGCTAGCTGGTCTTCAACACTTTTCCAGTGTCACAATAAAATGTGGACTCCTAAAAATCCAGTGCCTCTTATCGTTTCATTGGTTCAACGTTCACAATCCTCACGTAGGCATGCGCAACACTACCAGGGAGTCAGAATTTTATAGCTCTAAATTCAAGACGCAACGCGCCAGGTGCGTTCTGCGCGAAATCGCGCAGAACATGCTACGCGCGCGTCAATCTCCATAAAAGGGTTGTTTACATCTTACTCGCCAGCTGAACACTCCATTATTTTGCAAGAGGGATGTTTCAAAAAGCATAAAGTGAATTTGTTGAACAAAATCGGGATGTTTTGAACGAATTATATGATTTTTTCTTACCGAAAAGGTATTTATGAATGGGAATAAATATGTGCTCCGTCGGTATTTATCAGCACCCAGACTCTAAGTGGTCTTAAACAGAGTGATAAAAACCTCCGAAGCACACATTTATTCCCGATCCCTTATATTAATATAACCTCATATGTGGCGACCGTGCAGTATTCATAATGTAAGAGGCAACACCGCACGGGCCACAAAATCCCCCGAAACCGCGTTCACTGGGCGTGATGTGGCGGTACTTGTGGAGCCGTCGACAGTTCAGTTTCAACGGGACACACACTGAAAACACAGCGCGGTGCTCACACGATTAATAGACCGCTGAAATATTGAATCATTCTGGAAGTCAAATTATGCATAATGATGCAGCGTGCACCATGCACAAAAATGTCCATTTACCAGGTTCACGCCGTGTGCGCTTCGTGTATGCTTTGTGCACGCATCCAGGACAGCTAAATTTGTTCTGATTCGCTGTTTCTACCAGTCAATATTTGTTGCATGTCTGATGTATTTTAACAAATGATTGAATTTACGAGTTTCCGAATGTCTCAGCGATTCCGTTTTGATGCTGGCCCAAAGCTGGCCCAACGTCGGCGCAGCGTTTACAGAAACACAGATATGGCCTGAAATGTGGAGAGTTCAATGCTGTTTTCTAAATGTGAGGGATATAGCACCGCACGGGCCACAAAATCCCCTCAAACCGCGTTCACTGAGGGGTTGATGCGGTGCAATGTGTAGACCGCTCACCGTGCGTTATTCAATGGGAACGTGAAAACGGCGCGGTGTGAAGCGGGTGAAACGGCCACAATGCCGATGTTTCTGGATGGCCAATTTATTCAAAGCAATGCAGCGTGAACCATGCACGAAAAACTTCACTTGCAAGGTTCACGCTCTGTGTGTTTTGTATGCGTAGGATCAGCTAACAATTTGTTCCAATTCACTGTTTCTGTATGGTATTTGTCTATTTGTGCAGCAAGAGTTCACAAATACTTCCATTTTACAAGTTTCCGAATTTCTCAGTGAATTATTGGCTTTATTGATGGGCCCACCTATGAACTGATATTTGGTGCGGTTTACGCCGAGGCCACTGTGCAGTTTTCTAATGTAAGGGGACGCAACCACTCAGGCCACAAAATCAACTAAAACCGCGTTCGCTGAGGGCTAGTGCGAATGACGGTTGATTTGTATTGAATTGCATGGGAAGTCGCCGCGGTTACACAGGCGATCGTGAACCGCCAGAATGCTGATTTTTCTGCATTGAGGGGCCTGGATCTTCTTTGCAAGGACCCACAAAGTCGCTGATAAAGCACCAAAACGGAGGCACATGTATTCCCCACCCTCAGTGGAAGCCGCCCCCACCCCCCGCCCCATTTTGAAAACCTGAATTACATTCACTGTTGTAATAATAATTTTATTTTGCATTTAGTGCAGCCTTTGAAAAAAAAAACGCACCCCAGGTGCCCTACCCCAAGTTAAACCCAAGCGTCTCCGCTGGCTTGAGTACGATTTAATTCCTCATATAATCCCGAATATATCCACACAATTTAATAGACTGAAGCGCCAACTGTACATTGAATGAATCACGGCCAAGTGTATACGTCACTTGTCTATCCACCAATCACAGTTTGTAGGTGACAAGTCGGTGACGACAAGTCGGTGACCACAAGTGAGTGGTCTGTGACTGACAGGTTGTGTGTGTCAATCATAAATTCCATATTTGGATGTGTCACCGACATCCATACAATATCCACCAATAAGAAGTGGCCATTTCAATCTCGGTGACTAGTTTTTATGTTGACTTTATATAGTCTCAACGACATTAACACTGCTTTCGTATCATTAATATGAAGCGAGTCGGTGATGTGTGATTGACAGCGTACAGGAGCCATGCAATCACAATCCAGGTCCGAGTTTTTAGTCACTGCTCAGGAAATCGATGGCACTATTTAAGACATGTGGGGCCGTCCACCCTTCATATCAACCACAGGTCACCTTCGGACGACAACCAGAGAGAGAACTGACTGCAAGAACAAGATTTTGCTCGGTGAGTGTTTGAAACAATCATTTTTCCTCTGAAGAAATTTGTTGTTTTTGCACAATGTGTTTGAGTCAATGCGGGATTCAGATTTTGTTGAATGTTGCTGATTCAATGATTCTCCAAACAGCGAGCGCGGTGGTGGTAGGCTTGATATTTTCCCGTCTTTGTGTGCTTGTGAAAATGTGGTAGCTTGAGGACTGAAAAAACCCAAGATTTTTATGAACAAATTGTTCTTTTTCATTTCACTATGACTCTGATACACGTCTGCTAACAGCAAAACCAGCGCGCTAATTCCGATACAGAAGTTGTGCCTTTTCCCAACGACCACTTTGGAGTTGAAGTATCGCGATAATTTACAAATGTGTTTGAAATTAACTTGTTCAGACGGGCTTTGTTTGTGCATAACATGCACTAATCAAAGCCCGTCTGAAAGAGTTAATTTTAAATACTTTTGTAAATTATCGAGCTATTTTATTTCAGCTCTTAATGTAAACAGTTGGTGCGGATGCAGACCACGGTTTTGTGAGGTCAAATTTCAAGGCAATAAAAATGAGGAATTCCTGTCTGGCAATATTTCCGCTACTACTTCCATTGTGCACTCTCAAAAACAAATTGTCCAAATACTTACTGGTTTCTTTACTTCTTGAACAAAAAATCATTTGGATTCTTGTCGATATCATATGGATAATACACTACGAAGTCACATTTATGGACTTTTTTTATTTAGTGTCGACTGTTAGGTTGGACTGTTTTCTGACCGCAGTTTTTCGCAAGTATAAAACATCAAGTTTCCTGCTGTGATTCAGAACAGAAAGATGTATTGATCATTCAAAATAATATTTCAGAGGAACTGCAAATCGGTGTTGCACATTTTCGGTTTCAAAAACAAAGGCTCGCAAAACCTGGACTCTTTATAACCTGGCCAATATTTTTGGCACGATCAA